TTTTATAGATATTTTATGTCCAAAAGAAGTTAGCTACAAGTTAGTTGCCATGTAATACACAGGAAACCAGTTCTGTCTTTTGCGGCCACCACCCTTCAAAATTAGTGAGGTACGGCCAAAGGAAATAACTAATAAAAAGTAAAAACTAGTTCACTGCTGAGTAGTTAAAAGTCACCTATAATCTAGCCCCGTTTCCTGCAGGGTAAGGGCATTTCTAGTGTAGCTCGCATATTTACATACACACATACAGGCACATACATACATATGTATGTAAGTATGTAACTGCATTTATATAGAAAGCAAGCGTGCAAGCGGGTTTGCTATGCAAAACGCAGTGCATTTTAGGTGTTTAACCGTAAATTATTAAGAAAAAAATAACGGAGCGCTAAAAATACAAGCATATTTATGGGCTCTAAGGCTTCAATAGCAGATGAGTTTTTATTTCACTTATAAAAATATAAATTTTCTTAATACATATTTAAATAGTAGTATTATTTAGAAGAGAGAATCAGGCAGGCTTCACATCCGAGTGAATTTCAAACCCTGCCAATTTGAATTCAACCTGAATTTTATTGAAATTCACTCGGAAGTGAATTACAGAACTTGCCTGAATAGTTCTTTTTTAATTTCCTTATAAAGTGTGTGTAGATTTTCTGAGTTCCACAATCCAAAAAAAAACAAAAAAAAAATGGATTCACCCATTTATCGTATGAAATGTTCTTTTGTGAGAAATGCATGGAACTCAAAAGTTTGTCTGGCGTTGAAATTCATGTTTTGAGCATACTTCATATGAAGCAAATGCACAACACCGTCAGATAAAAAATTATCGAAAATCAAGGGTGTTTTGTATGCACTTAAAACTTTTCTAAAAATTCTGAAGAAAGTTTAAAATTTAGGTAAACATTTTTATAATTTTTTTTACAAAGTTTGAAATGCGCATTATGCAGTATATTATATAATGAGCTACACTTTAAAAAAAAAATATTAACGATTAAAAAAAAAAACAAAACAAATGTAGCCAAAACATAAAAGATACGACGTT